CATCTATCCACAAGGCTAGAGTTTATTGAATAACAGCAAATTCAGCTACATCGATTTCTTTTCAACAGAAAATTACATTTGTGTGTGTGTGTGTGTGTGTGTGTGTGTGTGTGTGTGTGTGTGTGTGTGCTTGGTTTAGGGGCTACAGTTTGCCAAGCAGTCCCAGTTTCCCATGATACCCAGTCACTGGCAAACAGACTTTTCTTCACTGCAACTTTAATTACACCATTAACTCTCTGATCATGCTTTACACATCACACAGTAAGTGTGTGTACATACGTGTGCATGCATGTATGTAGGTTACAAAATGGCTAGAGAAAGCTGACAGAGCACAGCAGAGCTGGAAGAGCTGAAAGGGGGCTGGGGCAGGAGAAATATGATAGAGATGCAAAGAGAATCTGCTGGAGGTGCACCTAGAGGGGACCTCAGGGTCGAGTTGAGCTGCCCAGTGAGGAGGTGGACTACTGAAGCCACACAGGCTAACTAATGAGTCCAGAAGGACCAACAGGTGGATGAACTGTCAGCTGCTTAGCAGCAGCAGGAACTGAGACAAACTGAAGCCCGGGGAGAGTCTGGAGTTCTCCTCTTTCAGCCCTCCCCCTTTAAAAACACATTAGTGTAAACGTGTTTGTGATTCAGTGGGAGTGGTGCTTGAGGAGGTCAGAGGACAACTTTCTGGAGTCAGTTCTCTCCACATTTATGTGGGCCCCTGCCTGGGACACAATCCTTTTGATCTCTAAGTTGTTCAGCAGTGAGTCTTGTGGGTGGTGCTGGGTGGACGGTGCTGTTTACAGGCAGGACAAGTGCAAAGCCATCCTGCCTCCTCCTCTGAACACAAACTAAATGAAATGCAGCTTAAAAGTGGGTTCCTCCACAGCAAGGCATGGCCTGAAAGCTACTGCGTTTCATGATATGGAGTAATTGAGAGCAGGGCAGATAGATCTCAACACTGGAACTACAGGCAGCGCCACTGTGCCAAGGGTTTTTGTTGTTGTTTGTTTTTGTTTTGAGAAAGGGTCTTGAGTAGCCCTGGCTGGCCTCAAACTTACTCTGGGCCATGAAAGTTTTGGATGAGTGCCCAGTGCCCTGGTCAACTGTGAGAAGACATCCTGCCATCTTCTCCCTGCATGGTCCCCTGAGGGCTGCAAATTCAGATGTCCTGTGGACCAGAAAATTGAGAACAATGAATGGTTTCAAATAATGACAGGAAGAGGACTGAAATATCTTTTTCCTTTAGGATAAAATTCCGGGTCTTCTTAATACTGACACATTGTTACAGAAGGCAACGAAATGGCTGCTTTTATATACTCCAGGCAGGCAGCTTGTTTTGTTCTTGGCTTTTAAAAACGATTTATTTTAGCTGGGTGGTGGTGATACATGACTTAATCCCAGCACTCAGGAGGCAGAGATAAGTAGATTTCTGAGTTCAAGGCCAGCTGGGTCTACAAAGCCAGTTCCGTGACAGCAAAGGCAGTTACACAGAGAAATCCTGTCTCAAACAAATAAACAAAGAAAACAACAAAAGAAAAAAATTTATTTATTTGTTTATTTGTGTGTGTGTGGCTGTGTGGCTGTGTGGCTGTGTGGCTGTGTGGCTGTATATATATGTAATCACCCATGAAAGCCAGAAGGTGTTGACTCCCCTGGAACTGGAGTTATAGGCATTTGTGGGTCACCGGACATGGGTGCTTTTAACCACTGAACACATTTCTCCAGGCTTTAGCATTTTTTCTGAGACAAGGGCTCCCTAACCTACACTGGGCTCAAACTCACTGTGTAGCTGAGGCTGGTTGTGAACTTCTAATCTTCCTGCCTCTACCTCCAAGTGCTGTGTGCCACCTTGTCTGGCTCTGGCAGGGCAATTTAAATCTCAAGCCTTTAGATGGGCATCGAGGGCAATGATTCCTAAAAGTGGGTGTGCCTCAGATTTTCCCAGGAAGGTTTGCTTCCAGTGGCTTCTCCCTGGATCTCTTGCTCCATTGGTAGGATGAGCTCCTTTTCTAACCAGACACCACACAGGGCTGGGACCACCCTTCCCTTTCCATGGTCCAGCACGATTATTGTGGACCACTCCCTGAACAGGGAGGATGGGAAGGGCAAAGCTAGTAAAAGCTTTGCTGTTCCAGAGTCACCCAGACCTGCTCCTGAGCGTCTCAGAATATCCCAGTGTCCTTCAGTGCATGCAGGAAAGTGGGACCCATGTTAGGAATGGTCTCTGTGACTCAATGGCACACAGGCAGGTACAGATGCCTGGAGACTACACTTTGGGCCTTCCAGCCCAAGGAAACCCTTAAGTTGGTGAGGGGAGCCCCAGGCAATTGGAGTGTGTGTGGTCTGCTTCTTTCACAGAACATGTCTGAGCAGCAGGGCTGGGTGAATAAGTGTCTTTTCCCTTCTAACAGATTTTGTCTTGTCTCATTGACAGACCCTCTACACCAGTGAACTATGACCAAGAGAAGGGTCAGACAATATACCATCCAGAGAACTGCACCTATAGTGTGGTGAAAAAGGAGAACCCAGGAAAGTCCTGTGCTGGTGAATACTTGGTAGTATTGTAAATGTGCTTCTAGTGGGCCCCAAAGTTCAGCAACATTTGAATATTTGTATGATTTAAACTTACCAATTATAGGCTGGCTGGTGGTGGCCTATAATCCCAGCACTGAGAGGCAGAGGCAGGCAGATCTCACACCAGCCTGGTCTCTAGAGGGAGACACAGAGACACTGTCTTGAAAAACACAAATAAATAAATAAATTTGCCAATTATATTTGTATTAACTTGATGCATGTTATAAAGCAAACAAACACTTAAAGCAGACAAAAAGAAAACCAAGCATGTTAAAAAAAAATCAACCTAACAAAATCAGTCACTATTACAGTATTTTCCCTGTGCTCCAATGGGTTTCACGAATGTGTGCTTTCCTCTGGGGCCCGTGTCCATTTCCAGCACTGCTCCTATGTCAGGATCTTCTGATGTGTTCTGTTTCCAGTTCCTAATGAAACAAACCATGTGTGTTCACAACGAAACTGGTCTTCTCTGCCCTTGGTACTCACGTTTACCCTTCCTTCCACTTACTCAGGCATGTCCCCTCTGCCATGTCCCCATATCCCTCTGTGTTGGGAGAAGGTTAGAACAGGCTAGAGTCAGCCTGAGAAGGTGGCCTCCAGACCTCCTGCTGCCTGACAGGGAGTCAGATGCCAGACTTCTGTGGGTGATGGAGACCAGCTCTAGGATCAGTTATGTGTGGCACACAGCCCACCTAAAATAGACTGACTTGAAAGTGTCACGACATTGATTCTGACATTTTTTTTTTCTCAACCCTTTGCAAAAAATTGTAGCATTTCCCCCCTAAGCTAACATGCATCGCTCACCATTTCTAAGTGTTCACTCAGTGGAGGAGTAGCTGAGAATTCTACATCCAGATCCACGGGCAGCAGGAAAAAGAGTAAGCCACTGGGTCTGGCTGGGCTTCTGAAGCTCAAAGCCAGACACACTTCCTCCAACCAAGCCCACCTATCCCAACAAGGACACACATCTCCTAATCCTTCTAGGTAGTGAATGCCACTCTCTGATCCCTAAGCACTCAAATGTATGAGCCTATGCGGGATACTCTTATTCAAACCACTACAAGCCCTAAAGGAAAAGGATTTTACCTGTATGACTGTTTTGTCTGCACATGTACATGTGTAGCATGTGCATGCCTGGTGCCCTTTGAGGTCAGAGGGCATTGGAATCCTGGAACAGGAGTTATGGATGGTTGTGAGCCACCATATAAGTGCTGGGAACCAAAACTGGGCCCTCTGCAAGAGCAGTAAGTGCTTTTAACCTCTGAAGCATCTCTCCAGCTGCCTATCATAAGGAAACTTATTATACTCTAATTCTCCACTGACTTTGTCTCCAGCCTCTAGGCATCCCCCCCCCCCCCTTTCCCCCCTTTTTTCTGTCCTTAAGAATTTGATTGCCCTATTAGCAAGGGTAGAGTTGGGTAGGAGAAATAGTAGCTAGTATTCTACAGCACAGTAGAACAACTCTACTGATAATAATCTTCTGATACCTCAGTCTCCCACATCTCTCAAACCCCCAGTAGTGGAGGCTGGCCTTGAACTCCCATCTTTCTGCTTCCTCCTCCCAAGTGCTGGGATTGTAGCTAGGTGCTACCATACCCAGATTAACTATTTCAGAGATAGTTAGTTGATGAGCTTTTCTATATTATCAATAAAAAAAAAAGAGAAATGCCCTGGGCAGCGGGGTATTGGGGAGACATGAAGGAAGACAGCAAGACAGGGTTCTGATCAAGCTGCAAATTTTATTCTCCTCAGCAAGGCTTATACAGCATGGGAGGGGGGGCAGGGAGGAGGGAAGGGGTGCAGGTGAAGGGAGACGTGCAGGTCCTGAGGCTGCAGGGTGTTGTGCTAGGTGGTAAGGTCACTGGTCAGGGCCCATTGTTCTGTTGCTATGCTACCTGACCTACCTGACCTGTTCTTTATCTTTGGGGGCATCTGGTTTAGGGCCTGTGGCTTGTTCTCTGGCCTAGCTAGTACTTTTCCATGGTTCATGTTTGGTCCCTGACAGAGAAATACAGCAGTAACCCACATCTGACCCACACATGTTGTTTACATACAGTGAAAGTTAACACTGTATCTCATAGACATGTACAATTACTATGTGTCAACTCAAAAGGTTTTTTTTAAGAATTTGCCTTGATTTCCATGATAAAGGAGTCATGCGATATACGGTCTGTGTCTTCTGACATGTATTCTTACATACGAATGTTACAGCGAAATAAAATCTACCTTGTGCGAGCATTTTGTGCAAGAGGCTCACTTGGCATATTTCTCCATCCAGCATTGCACATCTTCCAAATACTGAATGTACTTACAGATCGGCATGAAAAGGACCCAGATTTGGGACAGGGAAAATTACCACTCTCCGCTAGTCCTAAAGAGGCTTTGCGCAGGCGCGGACGGAAATCTCGCGAAACTGTCAGAACACTAACCAGAGGCGTGGTGGGGAGGCCGTGCTATCGCGAGAGCTCCGGGTTCTGGAGCCGATCCTCGGGTGGCGAGGTGTCTGGGTCGGTCCAAGGTCCCCTCGGCTCACCGGAAGAAGCGCTGCCAGCTGGTAAGGACGAGTGTGGCCGGCGGGGCGGGCGCGCTCCCTTCGGCTGCCCTTCGGCCCTCCTCGCCCCGGCCCGTGGCCTGTCCTGCCCCCCTTCCTCCCGACACACGCGGGTCCCGGGCCACCATCCTGCCTGTCCGCGAGCCGGGCCTGGACCCCTCTGCCTCCCCGGTGTCACACCAGGCCTGGACCCCTCTCCCTCCCCCGTGTCACGCCAGGCCTGGACCCCTCTCCCTCCCCCGTGTCACACCAGGCCTGGACCCCTCTCCCTCCCCCGTGTCACACCAGGCCTGGACCCCTCTCCCTCCCCGGTGTCACGCCAGGCCTGGACCCCTCTCCCTCCCCGGTGTCACGCCAGGCCTGGACCCCTCTGCCTCCCGGTGTCACGCCAGGCCTGGACCCCTCTCCCTCCCCGTGTCACGCCAGGCCTGGACCCCTCTTCCTCCCCCGTGTCACGCCAGGCCTGGACCCCTCTCCCTCCCCCGCGACCCGGGGCTGCCACCTCTCCCTTCTTCCCTTCTCCTCCCTCCGGTCGACACGCTCAGTCCCTGGGCCTCGATTGGCAGCCTGACGCCCTGGAGAAGCTTCTCTCCGTCCCTTTCCTGCACTCTCCCGACTGTCCCTCCCTGGTTTTCAGTGGTCACAGCCCTGTTTCCAGGGCTCTTGTCTGGGTCTCCCGCCCTAGGTGAGCCCGTTTTCCATTACTGATCCAGAGCACGTTTGCTCCTATTCCGAATGGTTTGGCAACTGGAATGTTGGAGGCTATGTCGTGAACACAGTATTTTTAACATCCTAGTTAATTCTCCCAAGAGTCCTCCAAACTAGCTTTATTTCTCCCTTCTGATGAGAGGAGAGCTCACGGGGTCATTGACGCGTTGCCCTGGCACTCGTTTATACAATGCTGTGTGCTCAGGGTGTCGAGGATACAGCAGTGTAAGAAATGGACGTGCTCCTGGCCCTGATGTAACTCAGTCCTTGTGGAGAAAACAATACCGTCTTAAGTGCTAAGGCTGGAACGTGGGAGGATGGATGAGAATGACAAGGCAGAGGGCTGGAGTTAGCCGACCCTCAGCGCACACAGCTTTCTTCTAGTGCTGTCTGCAGGGTACTGCCCACCATCACGGCTCCCTTCTGTGAGGACTTGACTTTCCACCACCCGCCTGAGAGTTTGCAGTGTTGTTGTAGGGCTCCTGAGTTATTTCCCTGAGTGTGTATGGGACACGTAAGTCAGTTGGTTCTCTGTTGGGATCCCACTGTGGCATTTCTGAACTTGAAAGTACACCAGAATCTTGGAAAGAAATTCACCCTGGTGTGACAGCAGGAGGAGGTTTATTTCATTTGTACTGCTCAGCAAGTTACTTGATTTGCTCTTTGGATTTTTTTTGTTTAAGAAGAGGGTGTCAGATCTCCTTACATCTGGAGGTCCAAGCCATTGTAAGCCACCTGATGTGGGTCCTGAGACCTGAGCTCTGGCCCTTTGGAAGAGCAGCAAGTACTTTTCCATCTCCCTGGCCCTGTTTGTGTGGCTGGTTCGAGACAGGCTGCAGGAATCCTCCTGGCTCTGCTGGGATTACATAGGTGCATGCCACCACACCCAGGTGATAAGCTGTTTGGGAGGTAGGTTTGCTAGCTTGCAGAATTGTTCAGGTGAGTGAGACGGGTAGCCTCTGGCACTATTAACAGTCCTTACATTTACTTCTCGGTTTTACCTCTTCCAATGGGTCTTTGTCTTTGAGTCTCTAGGAAAATATCCTAGACATTTAAAGTTTTGTGATGAAGGGCTTTTTTAAAAAAAAAAAAAATTTTATTAAATATTTATTTATTATGTATATAGTATTTTGCCTGCATGTGTCCTTGCAGACCAGAAGAGGGCACTAGATCTCGTTACAGGTGGTTGTAAGGTACCATGTGGTTGCTGGGAATTGAACTCAGGACCTTTGGAAGAGCAGTCAGTGCTCTTAACCGCTGAGCCATCTCTCCAGCCCTTAAATATAAACTGTAGCCTTTTTGGTTTTTGGTTTTTTGAGACAAGGTTTTTCTGTGTAGCTTTGCCCCTTTCTGGAACTCACTCACAGAGATCCGCCTGCCTCTGCCTCCTGGGTGTTGGGATTAAAGGCGTGCGCCACTGCCGCCCCATGATGAAGGTTTTATCATGACTTATGTCTAAGTCTCTCAAGTTATTCCTTTAGGGAATATTTTCAAAAGTGGAAAAGTGGAGCTACAGGAAGGGGAGGTTGTACCTAATTTTACAAGTACAAAGGACTTACTCCCTCTCTAGTTTGTTAAATCAGCGTAGACTGCTGGGAACCTCAGGGATCTATATATGGGTTTTATAAACCCTGGGTATTCTGGCATATGTCCCTTCTCCATTTGAGAGTCTCCCGGCTAGCATTTAAATAGTGCTTTGCCCGTACAGTGTTCACATACTGGTATGCTTTTAGAGACAGTCACTCTTTTAACTGTGCCTCTCAGTCAGGAAGTTAGTGTTGTCAGTGAACAACCAGTGGCACAAAGTATCCACTAGATGGCAGACTCACCACTGTATCCTCAGGGACAACACTACTTCCTGTCAGTTCAAGACCTCAAATTAAACCTTTAATGGCCCCTTCAAAATACCTGGTGTGGCTAAGGGGTTTAGACTCAAGCTGGATCTTAGCCAAATGGCTAAGAAGCAGTCAGACTCAGACTTTTGGACCTGGGAGCTTGTGATGTAGGTATGGTATTTAACTCTGTCAAGTCTATGACAGCTGCCAAGTTGAGCACTTTTATTCTGGGGAGTATCACCAGTAGTACTTTCTATGCTTGTCTGTCAGAGGAGCCTTTGTTTTCCTCTCCTCAGCTGTTCTTCTGTGATTGTTACATCTAACACTTTGGGCATCGTTTGTAAGCTTACAGTCTATATTCCACAGGTCCTGGCTTGTCATCCATACTCGTGAATTCGATGAACTCACAGGCAAGTGAGCTAAATAATTGTTGTGTAGGTACTCTGTTGACTTATCTTCTGTCCAGCATGGATGACTCATCGTGTGCTCATTCTTACTCCTGGCTTTGCTTGGCCTGACTGTACAGCAGAATCAAGATGTTTTTCTGGGGGACTAGGATTCTGCTTGGGGCTTTTGAGCTTATAGTTCCTTCATTTGGCATTACCTTGATTGCCCTACGGAACTAGCAGTTTGGCACAGAGTTGGTGGGTAGTTGACAAAATAGGGTAATAGGGTTTCTGTGTCAGTAAGTAACAGTCCTTTCATACGTGGACAATTACACCTTCCAAAATAATTCTTTAAATACATTTTGAGTTTTATCTTAGCTTTATTACTAGTCTCTCAGGCTTTAGAGAGGAGAGAAATTCATCTCTTCTTTGCTTCTGTAGGGAAAATCCACACGATAGTTATCATATAAAACCAGAGCTAAAATGTTTCTTTCTTTCTTTCTTTCTTTTCAAGAATGGGTTTCTCTCTGGCTATCTTGGAATTCGCTTTGTAGACCAGGCTGGCCTGGAATTCAGAGATCCATGTGGCCTAAAATGGTATTCTTATGTGGTACCGATAAGTACCTGTTTTCCTATCCTTGACTATCTTGGGGCAAGAAGTTCAAGTTGAAGATAAGATACAGTCCTAGGATTGAAAGCCTCCCTAGCTTTTGTGGATGTCACTTGGAATTTCTGTGGTACTGCAGAGCCTGAGGGGGGAAATGTTGAGTTGGCTGTACATATAGTGCACATTTTACCTCACAGATCCATTGTTGTTTTGGGTCTTTGAAACTAAGATTTTTGGATCTGGCCTTTTTAAAACAATCTTACTCAGCACTTCCCCTGGGATTATGGTTTCTGTGGTGACACCCTCACCAGTTCTGTTCTGTGTGAAAACAAGGAATTAAGTTAATCTGGGTGTTGTTGCCAGAGTTCTGGGAACCCAGGCAAGAGGTAGAATACCATGTTCAAGGCCAGTTTGAACTGCGTGAGGCTGTCAGAAACCAAGGGCTAAGGTGTGGCTTAAAAGAGTTGCTTACTGCCGGGCGGTGGTGGCGCACGCCTTTAATCCCAGCACTCGGGAGGCAGAGGCAGGCGGATCTCTGTGAGTTCGAGGCCAGCCTGGGCTACA